AGATTTGTAGATTCATATCTTGCAAAAACTTGGGGGAATTTTGGATATTATTTCTTCAAGTAATCTCTCTGCCCCCTTCTCTTGCTCTTCTCCCTCTGGAACTTCCACAATCTGCACATTGGTCTGCTTGATGGTGTCCCATGGTTCTCTTAAGTCCTGTTCATTTTTCTTCATTCTTTTTTTCCTTATGTTACTCAGACAGAATAAACTCATTTAGCCTATCTTCAATTTCATTGATTATTTCTCCTTCCTGATAAAAAACTGCTGTCAAGCCCCTTTAGTGATTTTTAAATTTCAGTTAATGTACTTTCAGCTCCAGGATTTCTATTTGATTCTTTTTTTAGAACTTAATCTTTTTATTGATTTTTTTTAAATTTGATGAGATATTACTCCCATACTTTCCTTTAACTCTTTAGACATGTTTCCTTTTGTTCATTTAACATATTTAAAATAGCTGATTTAAAATCTTTGTCTAGTAAGCCCAGTGTTTGAAAGTCCTCAGGGACATTTTCTATTGATGACTTTTCTCTGTGTATGGGCATACATTTCTGTTTCTTTGCATGTCTCATAATTTTTGTTGTTGGGAACATGACATTTTAAATAATGTGACAAGTCTAAGATCTCTTGCCCCTTCAGGGTTTGTTGTTGCTGATTGTTGTTGTCATTTGTTTGCTTAGAGACTTTTCTGAACTAATTCAGTAAAGTCTGTTTTTTGTTTTTGTTTTTATTTTGGTGGCCACTTATGTCTTCGTTCAGTTAGCTTAGTGGTCAGCTAATGGTTAGACAGAGATTCCCTTGGATACCTGAATCTCCCAGTTTTTGCCAAGGGGCTCTGTGTGGGTGTTGAGCTATCCCTTCAACACTCAACCAGGCAGTTGACAACTCTGTCTTGGGCTTGATGCCAGCTTGAGCAATGTCTCAAGATAAGCTAGATGTGCTTAGGGCTTTCTTGGGTTTTTTTCCCCATGCAATGCAGCCTTAGTCCTATGCATAGCCCATAGAATGTATATGGCCTTTTAGATTTTCAGGAATATGTTGGAGCTTTTCAAAGTCCCCTATAGATATCTAATTCCAGAGCTTCTCCTTTTAAACTTTCTGATGAGCTTAATGTTTGCCTCAAATGTTTGCCCACCCCAGGCAGATGCAATATTAAACAATTGCCTGTTATTTTCAACCAGTCCTCCTGAGGAAAGGCTGTTCACCCAGGCTGAACTGTGAAATCAAGTCAAATAAAGATAGTCTTGAGAGGAGAGTCTTCCAGGGAATCAACCAGGTAGTTCAAACAATGACAATTCACTGAGAATGAGGCTTTAAAGGGACTTTATGCTCCTTCCAGTGGTTGCCAGGCTACTGGTTTGCACCATGATAGCAGGCTGTTGATTTTTTTTTTACGTTTTTATTTATTTATTTGATAGAGAGAGAGAGCACAAGCAGGGGGAGCTGCAGGCAAGGGAGAAGGAGAAGCAGACTCCCCGTGGAGCAGGACATGGCTTAGGGCTCAACCCCAGGACCCCGGGATCATGACCTGAGCCAAAGGCAGTTGCTTAACCAACTGAGCCACTCAGGCGCCCCTAGGCTGTTGATTTTTAAGGCAACTGTAGAGCTGAGAAGGAGGAAGTGAGAATAAAGCAAGTTAAAATGTCATAAAGCTCAGGTTTTTTTCTTTTTAACTGAGATTTGGCTATTATTTTTTTTGAACAAAGACTCCCTGGATTGCTCCAAGATTTTGGTTATTTTCCAGAGTTCTGACATAGTTAATTCCGACAATTTTTTCAGTGTTCATATTGCTTTCACGGAGGAGAGGATTTTCAGTGCTCCTTACTCTGCCTTACTTCTGGATATTTGATTTTTGACTCTTGATTATTTTATGATGTGCTGACTCAAGTCTGAAATTCTCCCTGGAGACCCTATAGGGTTAATTCCTTTACTGATAGTTGTCAACTAGATTTATGGGTCTGACAAACCTGTCTTGATTATTTAAGGGAGTTCTCTAAGAGCTTCTCCTTTGAGCTCCTTGAGCTCCTTCCTGTAAACAAGATTCTTCTCAGAGATGTTGGTGGTTTAGGCTGGTGACACAGCATGATCCCTATTTATGCAAATAAGGGCCTCGGGGAGTTGGCACAGGAGATGTCTCTCTGACCTCCAATACTTGCCTGTATTCTCTTTTTCTTGCTGCACCATATTCTTTGCCTTTAAATAAAAGCCTATATGAAGATACCCTGTGGAGTCTGGTGAATCCTTTCAAATAACCAAATCTTTGCAATGGTATATCCATACAATGCAGCTGTAGATAAGATTGTGAAAGATCTCTGTGGACTGATATGGAAAGATACACAGAATACACTATGAAATGAAAATGCAAGGAGCAGGAGTGTGTTTTAGTACACTATTTTTTACATAAGAAAGGGGAGAAATACAAGAGTATATAATTGTATTTGCTTGATTTGCATAAGGAAACACAGGATACACACACACAGACACAAAACTATTAAAAATTATTAACTATGAAAGCAGTGGAAGCCAGATATCTCAACATAAATTTCCATACAGTTTTTATTTTTGATCCTTATGAATATATCACCCATTCAAAAAAATTTAAATTTTCAAAGTAAATGAAGAAAAAAGAAAAGAAAATTAATCATATGGCCCAAGGGGAATAATAAAGTATTACAGAGGTTCATAGTAAGTACCAAGATATAAAGATGGAAGAATAATAGACATGCCAAAACATAAGCATAAACAACAAAAGTAAATAGGTACAAAGCCCAAGTCCCACTTGGGTATCATATAAAGCCTTAGATTATTGCTTTAGTTTAGGGTTCCTGAACAGCAGAAATGATGACATTCTGGGCAAGATACTTCTTTATTGTAGGGGGCTGTCTTGTGCACTGTAGGATGTTTAGCAATATCCTTGGCCTTTACTCACTAGATACCAGTAGCAACCTCCCCCCCCCCACACACACAATTGTGACAACCGAAAGTCTCCATACACTGGCAAATGTCCAGGGGAGAGGAGTCACCAAAAGCACCTCCAGTTGAGAATCACTGCTCTACCTGGTCTAAATAGTAAGTGGATTTTCTAAGCATCTCATTAAGAAATTTAAAAAAAAATTTTTTTTTAGTTAATGTTTTCCTGGCAACTGATCTATTTCCCAGAACTAGTCTTTCACTGAAATGTCAAAAATTTCACGTAATAGTATTTTCCAGTTCTTTTTAAATTAACATAAGCATGATTCAGCAAGTGTATTATTAAGCAAATTTTGAGTGACTTAACAATTTATCAGAAATATTTTCCCTTTAAATAACATATTTAAATTGCTGAGTCATTTGGTGTCATTTTATTTGAATCTTTCTGTGCGGTAGCCAATTTCTACTTGTCTAATGATATCAGACAAATGGAATCAAACGCTTGTGTCTGCTTTTACACGTTTCAGTAGAGTTTCTTACATAAAATCGAGGGGAGGGACCTTTCCTTGGGAGTCTGGAATCCTTTAAGAAATTGGCCAGTTGGCGGTAAGGACGATAATGAATTAGCTCTGCATCTGTGAGAATCCTCATCTCACAATAACCTAAACCTTGAAGCCCCTACTAGCTCAGTAGCTCACAGTGCTGGCAGCCTGACTTGCCGTGGGGGAAACAGAAGGAGCTTTTTCTCCCGCTGCTCTACCCAGGATCTTCTGGGAGTGATGCAGGTGGCCATAATTATTCTTAAACACGATCGTTCCATTTCCGAAAAAAAGCAAATCAAACCCGTGAGCCTGCAGGTTTATTTTTAATGTGATTAATTTCAGTTGGAGGAGCAGGGAAGGTCACATGTCCCAGGAGAATCACCTTGGTTTACCCTATCCTTGAACTCAGGTGGAAGGGTTTCCTCAGTGGATGGGACCTACAGTTCAAAGCAGGAAAGCCAAGACCGTTTTCTGGCCGAGATGGAAAAACCCTCTTCCTTCTGAAAGTCTAAAGACGGGGTACGCTCAAATAAGTCTTCGGCCAGCAAGTGAATCTCTAACCGCTCTCTCTTGCCCAGCGCCTCCTGCGTACTTGCAACCCCATTCCCAATGCACGCGAGTGCGTGCGAGCAGACTCGGAGCTCGGCTCACAGGCCGGGAACTCTCCCTGGAGCACCCGCTAAATAGCAAACAGATGCCCAGCATGCCAAAGATCCCACCGACTGGGGCACCGCCTGGGACTCCCGGCCCGGCCGTTTCTGAATGGAGGAACGGCTGGCCCCACGACTGTTGCATGAAACGAACCGGTTTTGAAAGCAGAACATCCCCTTTCGCGGGGACGCCCCCTCTCCACGCCGGAGCCGCAGAGGAACTCTCCCTGCCTTTCTGTCGGCCACTCCTCCAGGCCCACTTCCCAAGCTCCGAAACGCTCCGGGACTCTTGACCTGGTTGCCATCGTTGGCACTCGCCTGCCTGGGCTGCGTGAGTCCCGAGCTGATTTTGGTGGCGAATTTAGGGCCCAACGATCTGGCTCGGGGAGTTAGTTCTGATGGCGCGGATGTTCCCCCGAGGGTAATTTCAGAGCGCGTCTCCAGAAGCCCAGATCCTTAAGCCCCCTCACCCCACCCCGAGCACTCGCATCCCCGGGTAACGGCCAGCAGGTGTGCTATTCGCAGACCGTCCTGCAGTCAAGGAGCCGAGCGTGCCCTGCGCTCGTCTCTTTTCCGACAACACTTGATAAGCGCACCGGGGCGCACCCAACAAATCTCATTAATCCAAACACCCTCGTCCGAGGTGGCCCAGGTTCGAGTTTGGCCCGGCCGTCCCCTTCCCGCGTCGACGCCGGAAGCCTCATCTGCGAGGGCTTTCCCTTCGGACCCAAAGGGGCGCGCGCGGCGGTGCGCGGGACCCGCCTCTTCCCTGGGCTCTGGCGGGGCGGGGGTGGGTAGGCAGGGACCTGGATCTGATTAGCTGGGAGGGGGAAGCCGTGGTCCCAACCGCTCGCTCCTGTCTCCCAAGCTTCTGGGGGAGGAGGAGGAGGAGGAGGTGCAGGAGGGCCGACACAGAGAGCAAGAGCGGGGGTCCCATCACTGAGCGCCCGGGTCAAGGTTGGAGCTACCGCCGCCGCCGCCTTCCGGCTCTCGAGTCGCCCTCGCCCCGCGCCCAGCCATGGGCCCCCCTTCCAGCTCCGGCTTCTACGTGAGCCGCGCGGTCGCCGTGCTGCTAGCCGGGCTGGCGGCCGCGCTCCTGCTGGCGCTGGCCGTGCTCGCCGCCCTGTACGGCCGCTGCGCGCGCGTCCCGCCGTCGGAACTTCTCCACCGCGGGGTCCCGGGGGCCGCGCCGTCCCGGCCGCGCACGCAGGAGGAGCCGCGGCCCACCGGGCACACCCGCCCCACCCGTGAGCCGGCGGGGACGGCCACCCCGGGCAACGGGCGCCCTCCGGGACCCTGGGACCAGCTGCGCCTGCCGCCCTGGCTCGTGCCGCTGCACTACGAGCTGGAGCTGTGGCCCCGGCTGCGGCCGAACGAGTCCTGGGCTCCGACGTTGACCTTCACCGGCCGCGTGAACATCACGGTGCGCTGCACCGTGGCCACCGCGCGACTGCTGCTGCACAGCCTCTTCCTGGAGTGTGAGAGCGCCGAGGTGCGGGGCCCTCTCTCCTCCGGCACCGGGGACCGCACGGCGGGCCGCGTGCCGGTGGACGACGTGTGGGTCGCGTTCGACACGCAGTACCTGGTGCTGGAGCTCGGCAGCGCTCTGCAGCCCGGGGGCCGGTATGTGCTGCAGCTCAGCTTCTCCGGCCTGGTGTACCAGGATCTCAGGGAGGGGCTCTTCTTCAACGTCTACACCGACCAGGGCGAGCGCAGGTAAGGGCAGGCCGGCCCGGGTCCCCTCCGCCCCCGCGTCCCCCGGCCGCCTACCTGCGTCCAGGGGCGCGTGCCCCCAAAGCCCCCATCACTCGCGACGCTTTCTTGTAGAGCCCAAAGGCGAGCGCCCCCTTCCTCCCCTTCCCTTCAGAAACCCTGCTTGTTTGTTTCCTGAGATTAACAAACAGGGTTGCTGGAGTGGTGGGGGGTGGGAGGGATGGGGGGCCTGGGTGATGGACATTGGGGAGGGGATGTGCTATGGTGAGCGCTGTGAATTCTGTAAGACTGATGAATCAGAGACCTGTACCTCTGAAACAAATAATACATTATATGTTAAAAAAAAAAAAAAAAAAAAAAAAAAAAAGAAGATAGTAGGAAGGGAAAAATGAAGGGGGGGAAATCGGAGGGGGAGACGAACCATGAGAGACTATGGACTCTGAGAAACAAACGGAGGGTTCTAGAGGGGAGGGGGGTGGGAGGATGGGTTAGCCTGGTGATGCGTATTAAGGAGGGCACGTACTGCATGGAGCCCTGGGTGTTATACGCAAACAATGAATCATGGAGCACTACATCAAAAACTAATGATGCAATGTATGGTGACTAACATAACATAATTAAATTTAAAAAAAACTAAAAAGCAAAAAACCCCTGCTTGTAAATACAGGCTAGCAGACCGAGGTCCTCCCGCTGGCCAATTTTTAGCACCATCCCCGCCCATCCAGTTTGTTTCTGTCGTTGCCCTTTTAAGGTCGCTGCTACCCCCAGAAGCTTACCATTGTCTTCAGAGAGCCCCCCCACTTTGCTCTAATCCAGGACGGCTTCACCACCGTGAGCAAATCCCTTGCTACTCAAAGTTTGGTCCGCGGACCGGCAGTAGCTGTCAATCTGGGAGCTTGTTCGAAATTGCAAATTCCCCACCTTCGAACGAAGGATCAGGATGTGCGTTTTAAGAACACCGGGTGGTTTCTGGGTATGAACGTTGGAGAAGCTTGGGGCTGTCGCACCCTTGTGCCCCGAGGTTCCCTCCCCGAGCGCGCTGTGCGCCGAGCTCCCTGCTCTCTTTCTTCCTCGATCTGTAGCTGCTGCTCTTGCAACAAAGAGACTCACGTCGGTGCAATTCTCATATTTTTCTTTTTTTCCTTTTTGCTGAGGTTCTCCAAAACTGAAGAATCCCCTTTAATTCATCCCCTCCCATTCCCTGCCTGGGGACCGAGTCTCGTTTTGTGGATGAGCGGCAGCTTCCCCGACCCCTCCCAAGCTTTTGAAGGGCTCTGCCGAGTATGGGGGAGCCGGCGCTTTCGGGATTCCTTCCCTGGGAAGAAAATAATAATAATAATAATAATAATAACAACAACAACAATAATAGCGGTGACAAGAGACCTCCCCTCTGGGTTTGCAAGCTCACGTAGCATGCATGTGTTCTCTTTACACTCATTTGGGATAACGCTTTCCACACGGAATGTTTCCAGCTCAAGAATTGCCTCTTTCCATGATCTGCGACTACGTTACTGACCTCAGGCGAGTGCCCCGGGAAATCGTGTATGTGGAAGATACCTAAAAGTTCTTTCTTCAAATGCTCACCCGCTGGTGGAGCATCTGCGGTTTACACAACTGCATGTACTTTGCCTTTTATTATTAGAAAAAATGTTCTCAGATGTTCTCCGAGGGAAAGGAACCTACTCAATTACCTCTTAAATCATCTCCGGCATTATTTTCAAAAACTTCTGGGCTTTGGAAGTAAGTTTAATAAGCTGCCTCAGTGGGTGTGTAATCTGTAGCTTTTGTTTTTAAGGACTGTGTGCTTGGGCTTTTTTTTTTTTTTTTTTCTTTCTTTCATTCAAAAATGCACCAAGGCTTGTAAAATAGCTTTGGAAATTTTCTCATTAGGATAATGTGTTACAAGATTTAAGGGCACAGGAAACCTTTTGCAATTACTGTGCGGGTGGTTCAGAGTGCAGGATTTTTCAGGGGGAAAAAAAAGGACACTGCACGCACATCAGACAGTGTTTTCTGCTGTGAATTCAGTAAATCATTTGCTAACCCATCTCTTCTTAATGAGGCCGTGGCCTGGATAGACTGCCCTCGCAAATATGGGAAATGAAATTCCCTTTCCATTTTTCTATTGTGTTGCCAACTCCATTGGTAACTAGAAACCATATTTTGAGAATGTTAAAATTCAAACAAGCAGAAATCCTAATAAAGTCCCCCAGATGTTCAGAGACCAACTTAGAGTTCCAGACTTGTGGCATCTTAGAGGAGCTGTTACTTGGAAATTGCTCCTCTGCATCTCTGCTTTGGAAACCACAAAGGGAAGAAACCTCCAGTTGAGCTTGAAGCCAAGGTCACAGAGAAGTTGGACAACACGATGAGTGCGGTGAAGCCGATTTTGGAAGCCCACCAGGCCTGAGTTTGAGCTGTGCGACTTGAGTCAGGCTCTCCATGTCTCTGAGCTGGTTGCCTCATTCATGGAAGAGACCTAAGTGTCACCCTTTAGAGTGTTGTGAAAATTCCTGAGAAGGAGGACAGTATCTGGCACAGAACCTATGTGGTGGTCGCTGCTCCTATCAGCTTAGGGTGTGATGGTTAGGAGCAGCCTCTTACTATCGAAACATGGAAATGTGAGACTCCAAAGAAGATCCCCCCTGGGGAGCAACTGCCTACTGAGTGCACATTCTTCATGGGCTGTCTCCGATGCTGGCTGCCAACGGTTGCAAAGTGTTTACTTCTCTTCTTTGATGACCCCTTATCACAGTCTGGACAGGCTACAGCTTTTAAATAATCTTACTCAACACCAAGGCAAAAGAAAAAGAAAATCATTCCAGAAAACCCAAAGAGCATCACTATCTCACACTTCTAAGGCTTAGGTTACCGATTTTCTAGCTTCAGAGGTTGCTGGGGATGCTTCCCGAATGTTCTCTGCCCTTCTCCACTTGGCAGGTGCCATCCCATTTCTGCCATAGAGGAGACATCTACTGGATGCCTTGGACGTGTGCGTCTGTATGTCAGTGTCTGCTTCTCTTGTTCCATGTGTAGAAAGCTGAGAGCACAATCCAAATGTTAATGTTCCTGATGACAGTATTTCCCAGACTTCATTCTCTGGTGCATCACTCTTCCGGGTTTTGCCATATTCACATACCTCTGGCCGTATTTTTTTGGTAAAAAATATCACTCAACTTAAACAAAAATATTAAGTAGATTTATTAAAAAGCAACTCTATATCATATCATAGAACTTATAGTCATGGTGCTGTAGAGTCACGAATACGATGAAAAAACGATGTTATTAAGTTCACCTGTTACGATTGTCCACTGAAGGCTCCGAAGGCTCTGAATCTGAGGGCTGCTCTCTTTGTTAAAAAGAGAAGTTAGAATCCGGTGTTCAAGATAAATAACACCAAACTAAGATCTTCTCTTGACCTTACCAGAAAGATTCGTAAAATTTGAAAAAGACTGACTTTCTCATATGTGAGTCAGATCTTATAATAGTGTGTCTGAGACCTACCCCAAATCCTTCTCCATCTATTCTTGGGGAAATCCTGAATTAGAGTAGTGGTTCATAAACCTTTGATGTATTTTAGAACCCCCAGAGGAGTTTATCAAACAGAGTCCTGGGGCACACCTTCAAAAATTCCAGATCAACACACTCATGTTCATAGTCATGATAGACACAAGGTGGAAGCAACACATGCTCATGGATGGATGAGTGGATAAATAAAATGTGGCTTATTATATACATGGGAATATTATTCAGCCTTAAAAAGGAAGGACGTTCTGGGGCACCTGGGTGGCTCAGTCAATTAAGTGACTGGCTCTTGATCTCAGCTCAGGTCTTAATCTCAGGGTTGTGAGTTCAAGCCCTATGTTGGGCTCCATGCTGGGCGTGGAGCCTACCCTATAAAAAAAAAAAAAAAAAAAAGGACGTTTTGACATATGCTACAACATAGATGAACTTTGAGGACATTGTATTTACTACCTGGAGTAGTTAAATTCAGAAATAGAAAGTAGAATGTTGGTTGCTAGGAGCAGGAAGTGGGAAGTTGATGTTAAATGGGGACATTTGGTTGTTTCCAGTTTTTGTCTATTACAAATAAAGCTTCCAGGAGCAATTGTGTATGAGTTTTTGGTTGAACATCAGTTTTCATTCTTCTGGAATAAATGCCCAGGAGTATAATTGGTGGGTCATATGGTTGTTTCTTGTTCAGTTTTTAAGAAACTGCTAACTTGTTTCTCAAAGTGTCTGTACCATTTTATATTCCCACCAACAATGTATGAATGATAGTTCTCTGCATCTTAGCCACCATTTGCTTTTACCACTGTTTTCTATTTTAGCTGTTATGATTCGCCTTTAGTGATAACTCATTGTGGTCCTAATTTGCATTTTTCTGTTCCATAGTCACACATGTTATCCATTGAACCGCTGGCCTGCACTTAATTTGCATTTTTCTAATGGCTAATGATGTTCAGCATATTCTTATGCTTGTTTGGCATCTGTATATCACCTTTGATGAAATGCCTCCTCATGTCTTTTGCCCATTTTCTAATTGAATTTTTTTTTTTTACCGTTGAGTCCTGAGAGTTCATTATATATGTTGGATCGGAGACTTTTGTGAGACATATGGTTTACAAATAGGTTCTCCTGGTTTGTAGCTTGTTTTTTTTCATGCTCTTAGTAAGGTCTTTCGGGGGGCAAAAGTTTTTAATTTTAATGAGGTCCAATTTATCAATTTTTTAATTTATTTTTTATTTTTTTCCAATTTATCAATTTTTAAAATAGGCCATGCTTTTGGTATCATGTCTAAGAATGCTTTCTTAGAAGGACTGTTGTAGAGCAGTTTTAGGTTTACAAAAAGTTAGAGGGTGGTACACACATTTCCCATTTAGCCCCTGTACCTGCACATGCATGGTGTCGCCCATTATCAACATCGCTCATCAGAATGATACATTTTTTTAACCAAAGATGAACTTCTCTTGACACACCATGATCACCCAAAGTCCATAGTT